AAAGTTGGATGGCCCGGCTGGGTGGGCAGAATGTTGTATTTTTTCAGGGTGTCCTTCACACCCTCGATCTAGGTCTTACTTGGTCTCCCTCTTGCCTTGTACCCTGATATATTTTTCTGTAGTAGGCTTTACTGGCAAGCTGGTGAGGTGCTATACGTGTCAGATGTCCAAACCACCTGATTGTTTGCCTCTGATTTTAGCGGAGGACAGTTGTTGTTTCAATCATTTCTCTTTTTATTAATTTTGTGAATGTTTATTTCTTTTCTTTTTTTTGCTGGGGGGATCCAAAATGACTCTGATCTTACCAATAAGCTTTCCCAACAACAGATGCATGTGACTGTAAGCCTGCGTGTGTGAGCATGTTTGTATGTGTATGTGTGTGTGTGTGTGCGTGTGTGTGTGTATGTGTGTGTATGTGTGTATGGGTGTGTGTGTGTGTGTGTACGTGGTGAAACACCAAACCAATATGCCAGGATCCGGACAATAAAGATGCATCTATCTTATTTTATCTTATGTAAAAGTGTAAGTGCTACATAATCATCATCACTGCTGTTCCCAACCTACATAAGGGTATAGTCCACGAAGAAACACTTTCCACCTTTTCCTGTTTTGGGTTAGTCTCTTGATAATCCAAGACGTAATCCGGAGAGACTTGTTCGACAGAGGCTGCGGGTCAGTAGAGTATTTTCGTGCTACAGAAAAAAGTGGTTAAATAGTATGGGTTTACGGCCTCTATCAACTCTATTAAGCGGGATCTCCATGTTTAACGTCATCTCCGTGTGGACAGAGCCAAATGGAAATGTCGTGCAAAGTGCTTTCTCCCAAGGACACGACGTCGGATCAAGGTGAGGCTCAAAACCCCCGAACCCGCAACCTCACGATTACGGGCCCGACAGCCTAACCTCTAGGCTACCGACGCCACTTTGTGCTACAGACCTCAACTTTATTGAAAAGAAGCACACAGTAAACTGTCTAGTTCTGTGTAACCTTAACCGGGGTGCACGAGATGAAAATAACTTCGGTTTTTTTTTTCTGTCTCATAATATTTCTATGAAAACCAAACTTAAGAGCAACCGGCAATTAAGAAAAAAAAACCCCCAGCATCAACAACCAAAAAACCCCAAAACCCACCTGGGATCAGTGACTGCTAACCGCTGTTAATGAAGAAATGAGTCAAACAATAACAACGCAAAAAACCACCGAGAACAGAGCTCCCCGCGGGTGACGTGAATTAGCGCCGGTCTATCATTAGGCACGTGCCCACACAAAACAGCCGAGACATCAGTCAGGAATTCAATTCTTCGCAAATTACCCAATTATTTCATATGTCAGCCCAGGAAATGATACCCAATCATTGCACGTTTATTCAAGCAGCGATATCGTTCGCCGTTCACTGTGTTTTGTAGCCTCTCGACCCTTGATGAAGTCTGCACTGTTCACTTGAACGTTAGGTTCATTGGGTTTTTGAGCTATTACCCGTTTAATAAAAACGTTTCCCAGCGTCTCATGCACCTGCGTTCTTATTGGCCAGGCCAACAACCGGTCAGACTGGCTTCTTTTCTGTGAACGATCGAGCATAGAGAACTGGTTCTGATGATACACGGTTGCTTTTAAGTACAATTGGGCTATCCCGAAAAATGCTGTTTTGGAAAAATTGAGTGTAAAGTTTTTGCCCTTTCTC